TAAATTAAAAAAGAGGAATGATATTGTAGTTCTCTCAGCTGACAAAGGCAATGCTACTGTTATCATGGATAAAATAGAATACAACAACAAAATTAAAGAATTACTCGACGATGGTAGTTATACAAAAATAAAAAGAGATCCCACCAACAGCCTCGTCACACAAACCAACAAAATAATTTCTGATTCAACCGCATTAATTGATCAATCTAAACAGTTTTCATTGAAACCTTCTGCTGCCAGGCCACCAAGATTATACGGCTTACCAAAAATACATAAAGTTGATACACCTCTTCGTCCCATAGTCTCTACTATCAGCTCCCCCACCTACAAACTAGCTCGTTTTTTGTCTGAAATCCTGCGTCCTTTCACTGGAAAGACCACCTCTGCGGTACAAAATTCTACTCACCTGGTATCAACAATCAAGGGTATTTCCCTGTCCCCAGACGACCTGCTTGTCAGTTTTGATGTAGTTTCCTTATTCACCAAGGTTCCTGTACCTGACACCATTGCAATCATTGAAGACTTGGTTCATCAAGGACTAAACACTGAGGTACCCCCCCTGGTGAGACACTGTTTAACCAATACATACTTCACTTGGAATGGAACTTTCTACAAACAAACTGAGGGCACCCCAATGGGCTCCCCCCTTTCTCCAGTTATAGCTAACATTTTCATGGAGAAATTTGAGACTGACGCCATCCAGACTGCCACTCTGCGCCCAACCTTATGGAAGAGGTACGTGGATGACACTTTTGTCATCTGGCCACATGGCCGGCCTGCTCTAGACCAATTCTTCGACCACATCAATTCCATACACCCAGCCATCAGATTTACCATGGAAGTCGAAATAGATGGCAAGATACCTTTTTTGGATGTCCTAATTAAAAAGAGACCTGATGGTTCAATGAGCCACTCTGTCTACAGGAAAGCTACCCATACGGATGCTTATCTGAAACCGGATTCCCACCACCATCCATCACAGAAGAATTCTCTCATCAAGACTCTGTATCATAGAGCCCAATGCATATCCGACCAGGAACACATAAGCAGTGAACTCAAGCACGTACACCAAGCTCTTAGGGCTAATGGTTACTCCGACTATACAATCCGCAAAGCTATCACTCAAACCATGAAGAAGAACCCTCTTGAGGAGCCTTTCAAAACCATCACTTTACCCTACATTGCTGGGATCACAAAAAAGATCTCCAAAATCTTGAATAAACACAAGATCCAGGTCCGTTTCAACACATTACATAAAATCCGTGATCTGGTTCCGTCTGTAAAAGATGTGATTCCGGACATACAATACCCTGGTGTCTACAAACTAAGTTGCCTCTGTGGTAGTAGTTACATTGGAGAAACCAAACGCCATATCTCGGACCGCATTCGTGAACATAAAGCAGACCTTAAACACGGTAGGACCAACACCTCGGCCGTAGCAGATCATTGTTCTAATTCAGTAGGCTCACATGCCATTGACTTTTCCAAGACGGAGGTTCTTTGTAAGCCATCTGGCTTCCATGAGAGATTCGTTCATGAGGCTATCCACATATACAAACACAGAGACAATTTCAACCGAGAAGATGGATTCTATCTTAGCAATCATTGGAAAGATTTGATAAATCATTTCAGTTCTTGATTGATTGTTCACGCTTACAGTGGCTTTCAGACAGCATACATAAAAACAAATTTCGTCTCCCCCCTCCTCTTTTCAAAAAATAGATGGACTAGTCCTGGCAAACAGCCAATCGTTGCGCGTGACGCAAACGTTATTTTTTATATAAATAAATAAATATGCCGTTTTCAAAATAAATTTATGCAAACCGACACACCTGATGATGACCGTTTGAGTTATGGTCGAAACGTCGTGAGAATTTTTATTGTTTTATATATATTTTGTTATTTTGTTGTTTCTCTTCAACGTGACTTTACCGAAAAAACTAAGAATATGAATTACTGCAGTCACGAAAGCTTTAAATCAAAAAATAAAATTATTGTAAAACAATAAAATTATTATTCTTGGTTCTTTCGGTAAAGTCACCACCACGTAGAAGGGAAACAACAAAATAATAAAAATATAAAACAATAAATTATTATTTCTTGGTTCTTTCGGCAAAGTCACCACCACGTAGAAGGGAAGCAATAAAATAATAAAAATATAAAACAATAAAATTATTGTAAAACAATAAAATTATTATTCTTGGTTCTTTCGGTAAAGTCACCACCACGTAGAAGGGAAACAAAATAATAAAAATATATAAAACAATAAAATTATTATTCTTGGTTCTTTCGGTAAAGTCACCACCACGTAGAAGGGAAACAATAAAATAATTAAAATATAAAACAATTAAATTATTGTAAAACAATACAATTATTATTCTTGGTTCTTTCGGCAAAGTCACCACCACGTAGAAGGGAAACAATAAAATAATAAAAATATAAAACAATAACATTATTGTAAAACAATAAAATTATTATTCTTGGTTCTTTCGGTAAAGTCACCACCACGTAGAAGGGAAACAATAAAATAATAAAAATATAAAGCAATAAAATTATTGTAAAACAATAAAATTATTATTCTTGGTTCTTTCGGTAAAGTCACCACCACGTAGAAGGGAAACAATAAAATAATAAAAATATAAAACAATAAAATTATTGTAAAACAATAAAATTATTATTCTTGGTTCTTTCGGTAAAGTCACCACCACGTAGAAGGGAAACAATAAAATAATAAAAATATAAAACATTAAAATTATTGTAAAACAATAAAATTATTATTCTTGGTTCTTTCGGTAAAGTCACCACCACGTAGAAGGGAAACAATAAAATAATAAAAATAAAAACCAATAAAATTATTGTAAAACAATAAAATTATTATTCTTGGTTCTTTCGGTAAAGTCACCACCACGTAGAAGGGAAACAATAAAATAATAAAAATATAAAACAATAAAATTATTATTCTTGGTTCTTTCGGTAAAGTCACCACCTCGTAGAAGGGAAACAATAAAATAATAAAAATATAAAACAATAAAATTATTGTAAAACAATACAATTATTATTCTTGGTTCTTTCGGCAAAGTCACCACCACGTAGAAGGGAAACAACAAAATAATAAAAATATAAAACAATAAAATTATTGTAAAACAATAAAATTATTATTCTTGGTTCTTTCGGTAAAGTCACCACCACGTAGAAGGGAAACAACAAAATAATAAAAATATAAAACAATTAAATTATTGTAAAACAATACAATTATTATTCTTGGTTCTTTCGGCAAAGTCACCACCACGTAGAAGGGAAACAACAAAATAATAAAAATATAAAACAATAAAATTATTGTAAAACAATACAATTATTATTCTTGGTTCTTTCGGCAAAGTCTCCACCACGTAGAAGGGAAACAACAAAATAATAAAAATATAAAAACAATAAAATTATTGTAAAACAATAAAATTATTATTCTTGGTTCTTTCGGTAAAGTCACCACCACGTAGAAGGGAAACAACAAAATAATAAAAATATAAAACAATAAAATTATTATTCTTGGTTCTTTGGGTAAAGTCACCACCACGTAGAAGGGAAACAATAAAATAATAAAAATATAAAACAATAAATTATTGTAAAACAATAAAATAATATTCTTGGTTCTTTCGGTAAAGTCCCCACCACGTAGAAGGGAAACAATAAAAATATAAAACAATTAAATTATTGTAAAAAATATATATTTTGTTATTTTGTTGTTTCTCTTCAACGTGACTTTACCGAAAAAACTAAGAATATGAATTACTGCAGTCACGAAAGCTTTAAATCAAAATAATTTTATTGTTTTACAATAATTTAATTGTTTTATATTTTTATTGTTTCCCTTCTATATATTTTGTTATTTTGTTGTTTCTCTTCAACGTGACTTTACCGAAAAAACTAAGAATAATAAAATTCATATTCTTGGTTCTTTCGGTAAAGTCACCACCACGTAGAAGGGAAACAATAAAATAAAAAATACATAAACGCCACTTTTTTTTTCAAATTTTCTTGCCGTGGGTTTCACACCTGATGATGATTGCTTATCGTGTTGCAGTCGAAACGTCGTGAGAATTTAATTGCTTTATATTTTTTATTATTTTACTGTTTCCCTTCTACTACGTGGTGGTGACTTTACCGAAAGAATCAAAAAAACAGCCACATATTTGCCAATAAAGAAAACTGACGCATTATTTTTTTCTTCATGGTCCGCTCTGGATCTTGGACCGTGGATAAATGTCCCCCCATCCCCCTAACGCTAAATCCAGGCCATGATATTCAGTGCGTAAAAATAATGCGTCCTCCACGAATAAAAACAAAACCCAATTTTCAACCGAGCGATAGCCCCTTGTTCGTGAGCTGGTGCATCTCAGTGGGTCCGCTTCTTCTTTTTGAAATTAGTTCGATAATTGATTCATTCGTTGACTACATCAATAGAGCGATTGAATGGAGCTCGTACGTAAACGCAACGAGTGTGGAGTAAAAGTTCGGTTACGAAACGTCCCGGATTACCCTGGACAGGCCTGGTGGCAGCGAAAAGCCAGAAGCTGTTGTGAAAATTAGGGAGGATTTTGTCTCCGGTAATTCGTTTTTGATCTGGCCCCGTGCTACACTCATGATATGGGGGGCTACGCGAGTAGCATCATGAGGTTGTTAACGGGGGGGGAGGGGTAGGGTCAAGTAATCTTTAAAGAATGTGCTTAGCATCGTATAAAGCGTGATGACACACACACACATACTCATTATCTTCTTTGCTTACTCTTTAAGCGCATTGAAGTTGGACGTTTACGCCCACAATCTGCGTGTGTTTTTACTCACTAAGCGTAATTTTATTGGGGGTTTTCTGCGCGCGCCTGTGTGTGCGTGTGTGTGTGTTGCGGTGAGTTGTGGGTTGGTTGCGCGTGTGTGTGTGTTGCGGTGAGTTGTGGGTTGGTTGCGCGTGTGTGCTCTGTGTGGGTGGGGTGGGTGGTGGTGGTGGTGATGGGGGAGGTGTGGGCGGTGAAAGTTTATACAGCGGCAGCAGCAGAAGAAGAAGAATAAAAAAGGGGAAGAGGGCGGAAATCCCGACCGACTTATCCAGCCGGAGCCGACGGACAGAAATCCTCGGAGACATCTCGTGAGTGAGTCGACGGCATCGAGAAGACGAGCGACCACGTTGACGATGACTTCTGCCGCGTTGACGATCACTTCTGCCGCGTTGTTCTTCTGCCTCCTGGCGTACACGGCCATCACCTGCAACTCGCAAGAGGTCACGGGTGAGTGAGAGAGTCAAACGATGGGTTTACGTAGCGCGGTTTATTGGCGACTGTTTGTCAACCCCGTGGTGGGTTTTTTTGGGCGTGTGTGTGTGCGTGTGTGTGGTGCTGGCCAATCCACCCCCTCGTGTACCGTTACAGACCTTCATAGGTGCGGCTCGCTAACAGCCACTTGCCCCTACAGTCTGTTGCAGGCCGTATGGGGGATCTTTGTTGTGCACGCGCCCGTCCGGTTCGATGTTCCGACGTTTCGCCCCACGTTGCCGGGGAGCTTCTCTGCGGCGCTCGATTCAATTGGCAGACGGGTCCGGAAGAATGTTTCGGGGACGAGGTGGCCGGTGTATGGGGAGACGTTCATGGGAAGAAACTCCCGGCTCGTGCGGCGAAACGTCGGACAATCGTGGCGAACAACAACAACAACAACAACAAGAACCACGTGGCACAACTCAAGAGTTGGTTCGACAAACTCTCTGTGCCGTGTTCTTGGTGGTCGCGTGTCCGTACCGTAAGTGTGTACTCTTTGCGCGTACGTGTCGGGGAACGGTGGCTGTGGAGGTGAACGCTTAAAGGTCGCGGTCTGAGCGTGGCCGTGTTTCACTCCAGCGCTGTCCTCGAGACAGCCCGGTCCCTTCACCTGATGAAGGCCGCTCGTGTTGTGGCCGAAACGTCGTGATTTTTGTCGTTTTATTTTTTTTTTGACCTACGTGGTGACTTTACCGAATAGAACCAAAGCGTATGAGGTGAGCGCGTTTGCGTTAAGGACCCCTCCTCGAATTTGTCGTTTAGTTGAACGACAAATTCCAATTTAAAAAAAAAAACGAAATCTTCCACCCTCCGGCTGATCCCACAGCAGATGCACGTTCGACACATGGCCTCCAATATCTGCCCTGACAGTAGAAACTTAAAACTATTTTTTTTAAAAAAATAACATTTTATTTTACCAGGTAAGGCCCACTGTGCTCCACACAGCTATTTTTTTTTTCAGAAGCTACCTGGCCACAAATGATAGCTCAACGAAGTGGCTTATCACGTGGAACTACATAGCGGCCACATACTCTACAGAATGCACTGTCCCTTGCAAAATAGCAATATTCATGATCGAAACACTTTCCAGTAAGCCCATATACTTTGCGATCCTCTTACGATGACGTGAACCGCACGTGGTTCGGTAACATGATCAGTAAAACAAACAAAACACGGACAAAAAAATTAAATCTACTCACGAAGATGCACATTTGGCAGTATATTGAGAGACAGAAATAGGAACACGTGGATTCTGCAAATATATATTTGCAGTTGTAAGACAATTACAACTGTTAAGAATGGCAGGTAGGGTCGGGCAGGACACTTGGCTAGATTATGAGACCTCCTTTGCCAGAAATAAGATATAGGAATAGGTTTTACCCTTTTAACTGGCACAAGACGCCTTTTGGCGTCTTCTGGTCCAACACCAGTGGAGACTAAGGGGCTGTAAGAAAAGCCGTCTCCGGTGTGGACCAATCAAATTCAAGGACAGTGCATAATATTATTATTATCAGAGTTGTCTCTTTTGTTTGCATTTTGACTGCTTGTGTTGTGGTTATTGCAAACATGATGCCTTGAATAAAGGTGTCAGTTTTTGTGCCAGTTAAAAGGGTAAAACTTATTCCTATATCTTGTTACTGGCAAAGGAGGTATCATAATGTAAATGCTCATTCCTAGCCCTCAATACTCTGATAGTGCGCTCTTTTTGAGTTGTACGCCTTTTGGCGTCTTCTGGTCCAACACCAATGGAGACTAAAGGGCTCTAAGAAAAGCCGTCTCCGGTGTGGACCAATCAAATTCAAGGACAGTGCCAATATTATTATCAGAGTTGTCTCTTTTGTTTGCATTTTGACTGCTTGTGTTGTGGTTATTGCAAACATGACGCCTTGAATAAAGGTGTCAGTTTTTGTTGTGCCAGTTACTTGGCTAGATGTGGACGATTTGCCGATGGCCCTGAATGATGATGGAGCGGCAGCCGAGGAACGGAGCGTGTCCAAGCGGGCGTTCAACGAAGGAGACGGAGCGATAAAAAATGAGCTTGCGTGCAGGTGATCGATGGATCGATGCATCGCAGGACCATGAGAGACGGTGAAAGCCTGTGGAGGAGGCCTTCATCCAGCAGTGGATTGATCATGGCTGATGACAATGATGATGATGACGACATATCAATTTGAAACATGAGCACTGACGAAAGTTGAAATGTGCACCAAATAATCTATGCAGGATTCTTAGCTCTTTCGGTAAAGTCACGTTGAAGGGAAACAATAAAATAATAAAATATGTATTGATATATTTTTTATTCTTTTATATATTATTATTATTATTTTGTTGTTTCCCTTCAACGTGACTTTACCGAAAGAGCTAAGAATATGAATTTCTGCAGTCACGAAAGCTTTAAATCAAAATCTATGCAGGATTCTTAGCTCTTTCGGTAAAGTCGCGTTGAAGGGAAACAATAAAATAATAAAATATATATAAAACAATAAAAAAAAATTCTCACGACGTTTCGACCATAACACACAAACGGTTATGGTCGAAACGTCGTGAGAATTTTTTTATTATTGTTTTATATATTTTTTATTATTTTATTGTTCCCTTCAACGTGACTTTACCGAAAGAGCTAAGAATATGAATCACTGCAGTCACGAAAGCTTTCAATCAAAAGCTATGCAGGAGTTACGCGCTGCTTTTTTACGCTTGTGCTAATGATTGTTGAAATAAATAATATATAAATATATTTTTTAACAACACGCGCTTTAATTAAATGTACCGTACGAGTAATTGGCAGAACTCCACCACGACTCGAGGAAGTGGCCCAGAAGCTTGGCCACAACGTACGGGGGACCCTCCCGTGGTGATTTACAGCCAACGTGAGCTAAGCAGTGGACAATTAGCACCCAAGCCGAAACATTGTTTAAAAATAAATGTTTTTTTTATGTTTAACGATAGAATATAGTCTTGTCATCAGTATGACGTACGTATTGCAAGTTTGCTGTGGATAGCACATTGGGAATGTTGGGTAAAAATTGAGTTACAAGATTTTGAGGCTACAACAACGACAACAACAAAAAGAACAACAACAGACAGAGTGAGTTAATCACGATAAAGGTTTTTGGGTTAGATGGCGTTATTTATAAATGTGTCGTAACCCTCCACCACCCGACACGGCCAATCAGCAAAAAAAAAGTGTCACGTTGACAAAAGACACAAAAGACACAAGTATTTACCAGCGAAACGTCGTACTCAAACTGTAAATGTGGATTAACTCTTCAACACACCGGTGGGCTGAAGTAGTGAATTATTTGTCTTTTGTCAACGTGACACTTTTTTTTTGCTGATTGGCCGTGTCGGGTGGTGGAGGGTTACGACACATTTATAAATAAACGCGATCTAACCCAAAAACCTTTATTATTACACAAATAGTTCACTACTTTAGCCCCTCGCCGGTGTGTTGTTGAAGAGTGAATCCACAACATTTACAGTTTGAGTTGTACTGTGATGTTTCGCTGGTTAATTACATCCAGCATCATCATCGGGCAATTCGCCAGAATGGTAAAGCCCTCTCCACTTGCTCCCGGTCTTAAATAGAACAGCAGCAGGGTGACGTCATCATTTCAATAAAAAACGCGTGGTAAAATACACGCGACTTATGGGGATGAGGATGTCATGTGCTGGTGTGTTATAGTACTGGTAATGCAATTTTAAAACCCGCCGGTCTCATTATTTATTGTTCGTAAACGCTCACGTGCAATCGGTGACCCGGTGAATTGTGTGTGTTTTTTTTGTGTGCGTGTGTGCGTGGTCGTAATTCATCCCCTGAAATTCTAAAATGCATCGTGACCGCGGCTTCTAGGGAGGGAGAGAAGAGAGAGGGAGAGAGAACGGTTCCGATGGTTTAAAGTTCTGCATTGCGAATTTAAAAAAAAAACACGGGGCGTATTTCCTACGTCTCTTTATTTTTTTTATCTTTCTCTCTCTCTCTCGGGCTTGCAACGCGCGGCTATTCGCGCACCGAAGTTTAAATCCGCATCACCGCGAGCTTCTTCAGCAAGAACCGACGGAGCAGCTCGCGCGCGTGCCGCGGTCTCTCTCAGCTACGTAGCCGCCGTTCTGCTGCTGCTGCTGCTGATGATGATGCTGATGATGATGCTGATGATGATGTTTGGTGTTGACCGGACGACGTTCACCCTTAACTTCGTCACCCGTGTGGCACACGAGCTGGTCGCTTTGCGCATATGTTGCTGTGAGACCGGAGAGGGCTCTCCCTTGCCTATACAAGTTTCAGCAGTTCACCAGCCTGAGGTTCGCGGAAGCATGACTCTGCTAACGAGACGCTGAATGACAAAACTTGGCCAGAGTTTTTGCTTCGTATCGAACAGTGCCGCTGATAAGATGATGCGAGTCCCAGAAGCCCCGTGCAGCCGATGGGATGTAGGAAAAATTACAAAATGTTACTTTTTTTTGCGGACGGACAAATAATGGGAAAGAGGCATTTTTATTATTATTATTTATCCCATGCATGCCAGGGTGATGCACCTCTATGCAACCGAGTGAGAACATGAAGCTATGCCCAATCAGTTGCTGAAGAAGCTCCCAGCGACACGGAGCAAAAACGTCAGGGACATCAGACTGAACAGCACGTGTGAGTCCTCTGCGAGCACAGCCCTCAAGAAGCTTGCGTGGCGGTTATCGTACTTGCGTGCAAGTTTTCTCACCCCTTTAGTCATGCTTCACGCTCCACCGAGTCATTCATTTGACATTTCAGCTTCGCCAATAAAACACTTCGTGACCGCACTTCGTGACCGCACGTCGTGTAATGCTGAAGAATAAGAGGCGTTTTAATGGCGTGCTCATAGACCATTTGGGTTAACCGTCCAGCTGACTTTGTCGGCCGTGCACGGTGGACAGTGCGCAAAGGGGGATCTTTGAACCGGACGGTTGATAGATTTAAGGAGGGGGAAAACGGCTGTGAAAGA